GGCCTCCTGTGCTATGATCACATTGTCAGTAATATGCCTGCCCTCAATAAATGCAGTCTGATGCTCACTAATGCAGAATTTGAGACAGCTTTTAAGTCTTTGAGCCAGCAGTTTTGAAATAATCTTGTAGAGCACACTACACAGGCTTATGGGCCGAAATTGACTCAAAGACTGAGGGAAATCACATTTGGGAATTAAAGACACTAATGTGTGATTCCAGTATTTAAGGATCATACCAGATTGGAAAAAGCTTGAGACTGCCCTCAGAATATCTGCCTTAATCAGGTCCCAAGAATGTTGATAGAATCTAGCAGTCATGCCATCCTCCCCTGGAGATTTGTCAGGCTCAAGACTGAATAAAACACCTCTGATCTCAGCCTCATCCACTTGTTTGAGAAGGGATTGATACATCTCATCAGAGATACAAGGAGAAATGAGAGGGAGTAAAGTGTCACCTCCCCAGCTGCCCTCAGTAGAGAAAAGGGATTTGTAGAAATCAGATATATGAGATTCAATTTCCTTCTGAGATGAAAACACAGTGCCCTGGGAGGACACTAATCTTGTTATGGCATTGAGCTTCCTTCTTTGCAGGGTATATGCATGGAAAAAACGGGTGTTAGCATCTCCTTCTCTTAGCCACTTGTGCTTTGCCTTTTGTTGCCAGTAGAGCTCTTCCTGGAAATGAGCTTTATTCAACTCCCTTTTAGTATTGATCCATTCTTCCCAGTTATCCCCAGCTTTAATTGCATTCAGAGTCTCCAGTTTTTTAGTAAGCTCTTCCATTTGTTGTTGGTGCTGAGTTTGAAAATTTGAACTCCAGATGAGCAAAGCTATCCTGGTATTTTTGATTTTCTCCTTAATTTGGAAGAAAGGAGTGCCTTCCACAGGGATTTGCCAAGCACTAGCCACCACTCAGAATATCCTTCTTTATGTAACCATCTTTTGTCAAAATGGAAAGAAGTTTTCTTTCTTTGCCTTTTAAGCCCCATATCCAGAAGAAGAACTGAGTGGTCTGAGGCACTTCTGATAACATTGTGCACAGTAGCATTTGGGTAAGCCTGAGACCAGTTAAAGGAGCCAAAAGCTCTGTCCAACTTCTCCTCCACCAGGTCAGGAGCTGCTCGGTTGTTGCACCAAGTGAAAGGATATCCTTCAAATTTAATCTCAGACATTTCCATGGCATTGATGAAATTTCGGAAGCCAAGAAAGCTTTTTTCATTTCTGAGAAGGCCTCCTGCCTTATCACTTGCAGAGATAATATCATTCCAATCCCCCAGAGAGAACCAAGTGTGACCCCAAGATTGTTTATCAATAATTAGCTCCTCCCATTGGTTCTTTCTGATTGTTCTGCAAGGGTTACAATAAACAAAAACTCCCCAATGAGGGGCCTCAGAATTAATCTGAAAGAGAATAGCTATATAGAAATCCCTACACTTAACATTATGAACTATAACATTAGAAGCCCAACAAAGAACCAAACCACCACTAAGACCCACAGGATCTACCAAAGCTAATCTATTATCAAAACCCAATTTATTACAGACAAATTTAACAAAGGCTTTTGGTTTTTTAGTTTCAGACAAGAACAGAAAATTTGGGTGGTGAGTTTTTAATAACTCTCTGATTTGGGAAATTGTAGAGGGCCCACCCAGCCCTC